GCCGTGGTGCCCATCCCCGGCACCTTCTCCTGGCCGCTGGCCGCCCGCGGCAAGCCCCGCCGCGGCATGCTGCGCCGAGCCGTCTTCTCCGACGTGCAGCGCAAGGCGCTGGAGAAGATGTTCCAGAAGCAGAAGTACATCAGCAAACCCGACAGGAAGAAGCTGGCCGCCAAGCTGGGCCTCAAGGACTCGCAGGTGAGAAGGGGCAGAGGGGCTGCAGGGAGCTGGGTGGGGTCCTCAGCAACAGCCCGAGGGCGGAGAAGGGCGGGGAACAGTGAGAACTGCCCACGGCTGGGAGAAAGCCCAAAGCAAGTCACAGGGCTGTGAGCATTAACAGAACCAAGAGAGCACAATTCCCAGCTGGGTGAGCAGGACAAGACAAATTGTGACCATTTTACCCTCTGATCCCTCTCCTTAGGGTCCCCAGAAGTCAGGTTTTGTGGTCCCTGTTAGCTTGGGTACAAGCATGAGCAGGATTTTGAGAGCCCAGTCCTGGTTTTGAGGGGACCTTTCCCGGTCCTTGTTTTACTGAACCATTTCATTTTTGTGTTGTTTTGCCCCGCAGGTGAAGATCTGGTTCCAGAACAGGAGGATGAAGTGGAGGAACTCCAAAGAAAGAGAGCTCCTTTCTTCTGGTGGCTGCAGAGAACAAACCCTACCCACCAAGTTCAATCCTCACCCAGACCTCAGTGACGTAGGCAAGAAATGTTCAGGAGAAGAGGAGGAGGAAGAAGTTCCCCCCATGTGCCCCCCCAGCCCTCGGCATCCCTTAACCTACCACCAGTCCCCAGAACATCTACACTTGAGGGACAGACTGGACTCCCAGATGTCTCCTTCTCCATCCCATTCTAGCAGCCCCAGCAAACCTTCAGACTTCTCAGACTCGGAGGAAGATGACGATGAAGGGGAAGAGGAAGAGGAGGAGATAACAGTCTCTTAGGTCACCCTGCCTGCCCCCACCATCACATGGGGACATTGCAAAGATGTAAATAAAACAGAGTGCTATAAATTGAAGAGGTAAAGTCCCATCCAAATGTCCACATTCTGCAGTGCAGGTTCTTTACCACATAGCTGCAAGACCTGCTGCTTATGACTATTCTTTTTTTTTCCCCTATGTGGAGGTTTTTGTGTTCATAGCATTTTCTAATTTGTTCATAACTCTCTGCTTAAAAAAAATCAACATTTGCTCACTTAGCTACCTTCTCCTGAAAACAGGCAGCAGGCAGGTCCTTGCTTTGTAACAGGGAGGAAAGTATTTCCTGTTAAGAAGGAAATGTTTTCCCCCCACAGAAGAAACAACAAAAAATACTATGTAGACCTTGTGACCATTTTCATTGCCTTTCAAGTGAATTGCCAGCTATTAATAAGATGTCAAAACCCTGAAGACTGATCCAGTAACCTTTTCCTCTAAAAATAAACATCAGTATTGAGGGACACCAGACCAAATGGTGTCTCCCTCCTCACCCAGAACAAAAGACCCACTGAAATCCCTGGCGTGACTTCCGAGGTATAAAGTCAGTATGCCTGGTGAAGTGGAGATATTCTATATTTATATGTTTTTCATTTTTAATTTATGCATCAATGTTATATTGCCTATAGCACTGTCTAACCCACCTTTTTGCCCACAGGCCTGTGCGCATTTTCCACTTTGCTTCTTCTATCCATGTGTGGACAGAGGAAAGTGGATATACCTCTTTGATTTTTGACTGAACTTTGCTGTCTTTGCACAGCTTATATGAACTGTACACTATTTTGTACACTTACTCTGTATGGATGTTTTATACCAAGGTTATTGTGAATGAATATAGCAATAACTCAACAAGATTTCTCCCCTTTTTAAATGAAATGATGGCTAAACTACAGACAAATGTAGCTGTTTAATTGTGTAACTTATAAAGAAACACTTATTTTGTATTTTACCATGTACAGACTTTAAATATGTATATATAATAAAGTGAATGATTGCCAAATAAAAACAAGTAGATTTACAAGTTGGATTATTCAGTAATACTTGGTTCTGGTTTGCAGGTTGTTGTAGGTTGTGTCTGAAATCAAACAGGAAAAGAAAACTACCTCTTATCAACAGTACAGTGATTCAATAAGAATTTATCAGCTTCAAATTAAATCAACTTGCAAGAATATCTAGCTGCCTTTTAACTAGGGAGCAGCTCCACCAAAGGAGTAAGGATTTTTCTGCAGTTACCATTAATACAGGGTCTCCCTCTTTGTATTTAAATGCAACTTAATTTCTGCTGCTGTTACCTTTGCTCTGCTCTAAAGCCCTTCTGATTCTCCTTCCTTCCTTCCAGTTATTGCCCAGGTGGGTCAGGGTGGGGATTTTTGCTCTTTGTCACCCTGCTAATATGCTACAGGTTGTAGACTGGGAGCATGTAATTAGAATTTCTTATGGGGTAAAGAAACAGAATGGAAGGGGTGGATTTAAGACAAGTCTTCAGCTTTAAGTCCAGCCAAGGATCACTTCTACAACACGAGGCAAGTTCATAACCACCTGCACGCGTTTTTAGATACAAACACACTCTACAGAAACGTCAACGATTTCCTCCTTGAATACAGGTAGTGGAGTTCTGCAGCAGCAGAGATTTCACTACAAGCTTAGCTTATTTTCTACTCCATAGACTCTGACTGATGCCCACCACACACAATGCAGCACAACAAAATAACTATGAGGAGCAGATACTACTCAAAGACAACTATCTTTGTCTGCTCTATTTCACTCTGCTGCCACAGCCACAAGGAAAGACATGAAAAGAGAAAAGAGAATAATTCCAGTTGGAAGGTACCTGCAACCATCACCTAGTCCAACTGCCTGAACGCTTCAGGGCTGACCAAAAATTAAAGCATGCTACTAAGCAGCATTGTTCAAATGCCTCCTGAACACTGCCAGGAACAGAGACTGACCAGCCCGCAGGAAGCCTGACCCAGGCCTTCCACTGAATTAGGTTATTGGCCACACCTAAGGCAGGACATAGCATCACCTCAATCATCTTCTAGCTCTCTGACCCAACCCTCAGCAAGTGGTAACAGACCTCTGAGGTAGGGCAGAGAATGGCTGAGGCACGTAGAGCCTTCACACCACAAGACAGACAAGTGAGACAGCACAACACTTGATTTGGTTTTTGTTTGCTTGTTTAAAAGAAGCTTTTCCAAAAAACCAGCACATCTTCCAAGCACACCTAAAAAACCCCACACAAATGTGCATTATCAGCAGCTGGCACAACCTACCCAAGTGCTCATCCAGGGCTGAATCAAAGAGCTGTTAAGTGCATTATTAACAAAGCATATACTGGAGGATGCATTGTTACCCACCTACTGACTCTTTCAGTGGTAGAGCACCCCATGACAATGGTATTGTACTACAGTAAGCATAAGACCATTTTGTTTTAGACTCCTCCAGAGACCACAGGCACCATCACAAAACTGCAGTGCTCAGGAGAGGGACATGCTCAAAACAAAACCAGGTATCACTTCAGCATAACCCCTCCACAGAAGCCACTAATCACCTCACACCCTCTGCTCCTCACAACTTCTCTGCACTTCAAGTGCTACCAGAGGAAAGTATTTCAGACTACTTATTTCAGCATAAATACTACTACAACTTATTCTGTTAGCCTTACTGAAGGAAAACGACCTGGAATTGCCACAGGGAAAAGCCCTTACTTGAAATATGACATTTATCAATTTTCTTCTCTTTACTTTCCTCATTTTTCTTTCAAGGGTCTTTTTTTTTTTTTTCTTTGTAACAAAAAGACCATTGTGTGACCACCAAACAGAGCCATTGAAAACTCATTAATACCTTAATAAGAAAATAAAAAGCTGCCAACAGCTGCCAGAGTGGGTCTGTGACTTGGAGGAAAAGAGTCTCCTTCTCAGGGCATCCAGTTTCTGGTCTGGGGTGAAGCCAAAGTTCACAGCTGCTGGGTGATGTGCTGGCTCATGTGGGGCAGCTGTGCCCAGGGACCTCCTGCAGAGCTGCTGACCCCTTCCCAGGTGCTGGGGTAGAGGTACAAACTTCCTCAAATACCAAGAAATTCCAGTTGCTTTAGCAGGACTCAGTAACAATCTGGTTTTTGGCATGCAGGACACTTGGAGTTCAGCTTGGGTGTACTTCTAAGAGCAAAATATTTCATAATTTGCACTAATAAAGAGTGTCAGAGGTCACCTCCCACTGTTCTCTCAACTAGCTAATCTTGGTGAGGCTAGTACAAAACTGCTGGCCCTAGAATTTATTTATTTATTCATATATTTATGCAGGTCTCTGTATACTTTGGGAAAAAAAAGGTTGAAGAACTTTTTCCTAACATCTAACCTGAATCTACTCTTTCCTAGCTTAAAGCCATTACCACTTGTCC